TGGTTGCCAGAGGGGAGGTTGGTGGGGGGGAAGAGTGAAGCAGGTGATGGGGATTAAAGAGTGCGCTTATCATGATAAAAAAAATAAATAAAATTGAGTTTGTATGTTGGCCTTGTATTTATAATCTTACTACACTCACTTATAATTCAAATAGCTTTTTTGTAGATTGTTTGATTTCTCTGTACATAATCGTGTCATCTGCAAATGAAGACAGCTTTACATATTTCTTTCCAATTTGTATGCTAGGACTTCTCATACAGTGTTAATAGGAATATTGAGAATAGATATATATTTTTTAAAGATTTTATTTATTTATTCATAAGAGACACAGAGAGAGAGAGAGAGAGAGAAAGAGGCAGAGACATAGGCAGAGGGAGAAACCTGCCCCATGCAGGGAGCCTGACGTGGGACTCGATCCCGGGACCCAGGATCAGGCCCTGGGCCAAAGGTGGCGCTAAACCGCTGAGCCACCGGGGCTGCTCGAGAACAGATAGTCTTCAATTCTTGATCTTAGGAGAAAATTCATTCAGTCTTCACATTTAAAAATGATATTAGCTGTAAGTTTTTTTGAAGGTGCACTTTATCAAGTGGAGGAGATTCAATTTTTTTCAACTTTTATTTTATTTTATTTTTTTAAATTTATTTATTTATGATAGTCACAGAGAGAGAGAGAGAGAGAGAGGCAGAGACACAGGCAGAGGGAGAAGCAGGCTCCATGCACCGGGAGCCCGATATGGGATTCGATCCCGGGTCTCCAGGATCGCGCCCTGAGCCAAAGGCAGGCGCCAAACCGCTGCGCCACCCAGGGATCCCTCAACTTTTATTTTTAATTTGTTGAGTGTTTTTGAAAAAAAAAAAATTGTGTGTTTTGACTGTTGTCAAGTGCTCTTTTTGCTATGTGTTGATCCTGTTGTTTTCTTTATTAATATGATGATGCACGTTGATTTTTCAAATGTTAAATCAATTTTCTATTTGTTAGGTAAATTCTACTTGGTTATGATGTATTATCCACATTATATTTTGCTGGATTTGGTTAGTATTCTGTTAAGGCTTTCTTCATTTATGCTTAAGAAAGATATTGAGTTGTAGTTTTCTTGTGTGTGTTTCTGTGAAATTTTTGTATAGATTTGGTATCAAGGTAACATTGGCCTCATAGAATGAGTTGGGAAATTTTACCATTTTTTCTATTTTTTGAAATAGTTTGTATAAGATTGGCATTACTTTTTCCTTAAATGTTTATGAGAATTCACCAGTGGGGGGGGGGGGGAAGAATTCACCAATGAAGCCACCTGGGTTTAGAATTTTCTTTTTAAATTTTCGTTACATACTTTCTTTTTTATTTTTATATTACGTATTTATTTTTGAAGACTTGATATTTTTATTTTATTTTTTTAAAGATTTTTTATTTATTAGAGACAGAGAGAGAGAGAGGCAGAGAGGCAGATACACAGGCGGAGGGAGAAGCAGGCTCCATGCAGGGAGCCTGATGCAGGACTCGATCCCCGGTCTCCAGGATGAGGCCCTGGGCCGAAGGCGGCGCTAAACCGCTGAGCCACGTGGGCTGCCCCGATTTTTTAAAAAAGATTTTATTTATTTATTCATGAGAGACACACAGAGAGAGACAGAGACAGAGGGAGAAGCAGGCTCCCCACGGGGCCTGATGTGGGACCCGATCCCAGGACTTCAGGATCATGCCCTGAGCCAAAGGCAGACACTCAACCACTGTGCCACTGAGGCGTCCCCCTTAATTTCTTTTTTTAAATTAAATATTCTAAATTATGTTAGAATATTGTTTAATATGCATTTTTAAGATAGATAAGGCTGTTAAACTGTTCTTTGGGCATTTTGGTATGTTGCATGTCAAGGAATTTTTCTTTTAATTTCTTAAAATATTTTATTTATTTATTCATGAGAGACAGAGAGAGAGGCAGAGACACAGGCAGAGGGAGAAGCAGGCTCCTCGCAGGGAGCTCGACGAGGGGGACACTATCCCAGGATCACGCCCTGAGCTGAAGGCAGACGCTCAACCACTGAGCCACCCAGGTGCCCCTGTGTCAGGGAATTTGTCATCATTTCAGTTGTCAAATTTGTTGCTTTAACGTTTTTTATAATATTACCTTTTAAGTATCTATAGATATGCAGTGATTTTCCCTTTTTCATTCCGAATACTGCCAGTTAGTGTCTCCTCTTTTTTTTACTGATTGGTTTAGCTGGAGGCTACCAATTTTAATACTCCTCAAAAAACTAGCTTTGGGTTGCCTGGGTGGCTCAGGGGTTTGCCTTCAGCCCAGGGCATGATCCTGGAGTCCTGGGATCCGGTCCCCGCATTGGGCTCCCTGTGTGGAGCCTGCTTCTCCCTCTGCCTGTGTCTCTGCCTCTCTCTGTGTGTCTCTCATGAATAAATAAAAATAAAATCTTTAAAAAAAGAAAAACTAGCTTTTATTTCATTGATTGTAGTTTTTTCATTTATTTCTTTCCTTCTATTTTGAGTTTCATTTGCTCTTATTTCTCTAGCATATTTTCTAAAGTTAGTATGGTACTTAAAATGTTATTTCCTTTCCAGCACAGTGTTAGTTGCATCCCACAAACTTAAATTATGTTGTTTTCATTTTTGTTCAATTCAGAATGTTTTATTTCTCTGTGATTTCTTCTTTCACCCATAATTTAGAAATCTAATTTCCAAACATTTGAGATTTTTCCACTTTTTTTTTTTAAAAGATTTTATTTATTTACTCATGAGAGGCACAGAGAGGGGCAGAGACACAGGCAGAGGGAGAAGCAGGCTCCATGCAGGGAGCCTGATGTGGGACTTGATCCCTGGTCTGCAGGATCACCCCCCCCCCCCCCCGGGCCGAAGGTGGCGCTAAACCGCTAAGCCACTGGGGCTGCCCTCCGCTTTTTTTTCTATTATCGATTTCTAGTTTACTTATTTTTATTTTTTTTGAATATTTATTTGAGAGAGAGAGAGAGAAAGCACATGCAGTGGGAGGGGTGGAGGGAGAGGGGGAAGCAGACTCCCCACTGAGCAGGCCTGATATGGAGCTTGATCCTAGGACCCTGGAATCATGACCTGAGCTGAAGGCAGCCACTTAACCACCAGGCGACCCTATTTATTTTTATTTTTATTGATTTTAATATTTTATTTATTTATTCATGAGAGACAGAGAGAGAGAGAGAGAGGCAGAGACATAGGCAGAAGAAGAAGCAGGCTCCCTGTAGGCAGCCCGGTGTGGGACTCGATCCCAGGACCCAGGGATCATGACCTGAGCCAAAGGCAGAAGCTCAACCACTGAGCCACTGAGGTGCCCCTTGATTTCTAGTTTAATCTCGTGGTCAGAGAACATCCTGTATGTGGCTTCAAATCCTTTAAATTTGAGATTTGTTTTATGGTCTGTCTTGGTGAATTTTCCTTGTGAACTTGAAAATAATGAATATTCTGTGGTTGTTGGTGGAGTGTTCTATTAATGTCAGTTAGGCTGAGTTAGTTGATAGTTAAGTTTTTTGTATCCTTACTGACTTTTTTGATTAAGGAAAGATTATTAAAGTCTCCAACTGTAATTGTGGATTTGTTTATAGCTTTTTAATTCTGATTTACTTTATGTATTTTGAAAATCCGTTATTGTGTGCATACTTATTCAGGATTATTAGGTCTTCTTGATTGATTCCTTCATTTTTGAAATGTCCCTGTTTATATTTGGTAGTATCTGCTATTTTGAGTTGTCAGAGATTAATATATGTATTGCACCTTCCTTATGACTATTGTTTGCATGGGTGTCATCTTCCATCCTTTGGCCTTTTACCTATGTTTATTTTTGTTAAACGTGGTTTTCTCCTAGACAGCATGCAGCTAGATCTTAGCTCCCACCACCCCCTGCCCCCCCACCAGCATAGTATGACAATCTCTGCCTTCTAGTTGGAGTGTTTCATTTACACTGAAGTAAACATAAATATGGTTGAGTTTAAGCCTACCATCTTGAAATTCTTTTCATCTGTTCTTTGATTCCTACTATCTTGTTTTCTCTTGGATTGAATTTTTTTTTAATTTTTATTTTTTCTTTATTTATGATAGAGAGAGAGAGAGAGAGAGAGAGAGAGAGGCAGAGACACAGGCAGAAGGAGAAGCAGGCTCCATGCACCGGGAGCCCGATGTGGGATTTGATCCCGGGTCTCCAGGATCGCGCCCTGGGCCAAAGGCAGGCGCCAAACCGCTGCACCACCCAGGGATCCCGGATTGAATTGTTTTTTTAGTGTTTCATTTGATCTCTACTATTGGTTTAGCTTCTGTTTTTTGTTTGTCAGTAATTGCTGTGAGTTTTTATGATATGTTAATGTTGCCAGAGCCTGCTTTCAAGTGATATACCAATTCACATGGAGTGTAAGAACCTTAGAACAGTATACTTCTGTTGCTTCTCTCATCCATTATGTCATTAGTGTCATAGGTTTTACTTGTACCTATGTACAATCCTGCAGTACACTTTAAATTATATCTTTTTAAAGAAATAAATGTATATTTAACATATCTTATCAGCATATTTACCATTTCTGGCATTCTTTTGTGTAGATCTAGTTTTCATCTGGCATTATTTTTCTTCTGGTTACAGAATTTCTTTTAACATTTCTTGTGGTACAGATATACTGTTGACAAATTCTTTTGGTTTTTTTTCCCCCCCTGAACAGTTTCTTTTTTTTTTTTTTCTTTTTATTTATTTAATTAATTATTATATTTTTTAAGATTTTATTTATTTATTCACGAGAGACACACAGAGGCAGAGACACTAGCAGAGGGAGAAGCAGGCTCCATGCAGGGAGCCCGATGTGGGACTCGATCCCGGGTCTCCAGGATCACACCCTGGGCTGAAGGTGGTGCTAAACCGCTGAGCCACCCAGTCTGCCCTATTTTTAAAATGTTATTAAGATTTAAATTTTAATTCCAGAGTAGTTAACATACAGTGTTGTATTAGTTTCAGGTGCACAGTTATGCAGCAATTCTATACCTTACAAAAATCATGGAATGTTTCACAAATTTGCATGTCTTCTTTGCTCAGGGACCATGCTAATCTTCTTTGTGTTGTTTCAATTTTAGTGTATGTGCTGCTGAAGCAAGTATATTTTATTTTGAATTTATTTTTGAAAGATATTTTCACTGGACATAGAATTTAGGTTGACAGGTTTTCTCCTCCACAGGTATTTTATTTTATTATTATTATTTTTTTAATTTATTTATGATAGTCACAGAGAGAGAGAGAGAGGCAGAGACATAGGCAGAGGGAGAAGCAGGCTCCATGCACCGGGAGCCCGACGTGGGATTCGATCCTGGGTCTCCAGGATCGCGCCCCGGGCCAAAGGCAGGCGCCAAACCACTGCGCCACCCAGGGATCCCATCCACAGGTATTTTAAAGATACAATACTATTGTATTTTTTATTTGGTTTGCATATCTTCTGATCAGGAGTCTGAAGTCATTCTTAGTCTTGATTAATATTTGTAGGTAAAGGTTCTCTTGTTTTCTGGCTGCTTGTAAGATTTCCTCCTTTTCATGGGTTTAACAATTTGATTGTGTAATGCCTTAGAATGCTTTGCTTAGGGTTTGCTGAGTTTCTTGGATTTGGGAGTTTATAGTTTTCATCAAACTTAGGAAATTTTTGGCCATTATTTCTTCAGATATTTTTCATTCTTTTTCTTTTTTCTTTGTCCTTCATTTTGGTCAGTTTTTATTGCTGTGTCTTCAGATGCACTTACCTTTTCTTCTGCAGTATCTAGTCTGCTGGCACTCCCCATTGAGTGAATTTTTTATTTCAGATATTATATTTTCTTCTCTAGAAGTTTTGCTTTCTTTTTATGCAATATATTTCTTCTCTTACTATGATCCTGTTTTCCTTTGAATTTTCTTTTTATTGAGGGATAAATGGCATAACATTATCAGTTTCAGGCACACAACATAATGATTCAGTATGTTTTTTTTTTTAAATTGCATTAAGTTCTTCAATAAAGTTATAACACCTGTCTTAATGTTCTCTTGTGTGCAAATTATTTCTTCTAATTTTTCTTATTATTATGAATCACACTTCTCTGCCTCCTGACATCTGTTGAGATTATTGATTGGGTGCTGGATACTATGAATTTTACATTGTTGAGGATCTGGATTTTGAGGCCTTAGTTTGAAGAGTTTTGAGATTTGTTCTGGTGGGTAGTTAAGTTGCTTTTGGCTCATTTTGATAATGTCCAGTCCCATTTTAAAACTTTATTAGGGTAGATCTAGGGTGGCCTTTACCCTAGGGATAATCTGCCCTTCCCCTACCAGGACATGGCCCTTCAGGTCTCTACTGAGTTGAGTGCCCTGACTGAGCAGTGAGGACACCCACTCTGGTGCTTGCGGCTCATAAGGCCTGCGAGGACCCTGGGAGCCATTCATCTCATGGCTTCTTCATTGCGATTTCTCAGCCTTGTAGAGTTTCACTCTGTGAGCGTACACTTTTAATATGCAGCAAAGATGTAAGGGAACCTCTGTGTGTATTTTTGGAGCTCTGTTTCTTTGTAGCCCTCTCCTCTGGAACTCTGTCCTGCAACTTTTAGCTGCCTTAGCCTCCCTGAACCCTAGTCTCTGTTTCCTCAGCTCAGTAAGACACCTGCCATGCTCTGCTGGGACCCCCACCTCCCCCTTCTTGGTCTGAAACATGCCTCCCAGCAGAAAGGCAGAGTGATCTTAGGGCTCACATCATTTGTTTTTGTTCTGTCGGGAATCACTGTTGTCCAAGGTCTACAAACAGTGGTGTCATGTATTTTGTTTAGTTTTTAATTGTTCACAGTGGGAGGTTAAATCTGGTCCCAATTACTCCATCACAGACAAAGCAGAAGTCTCTTAGTTGATTTTGAGCAGAGGAGTGCTAGGATATAACTTCTGTCATCTCACCCTGAGTGTGGGGTGGTGGTATTATTCCCATTACTCCCATGGATGGGGAGATGGAGGTTCCGAGAGGTTGAGCAGTATACCCACAGTCACTCAGTTACTGTTGCCAAACTTCATGCACTTGCCTCTGTGCCAGGACCTCTCAAGAAATAATTGTTGAGTTGAACCTTATTCTTTTCTGTGAAGATCTCTAGGCCAGACTGGCATAGGACATACCCAGAGTTACGCAGCCATGTGGCAGGTGCGGAATGGTCACTCTTGGACCTGGATGGTCTGCCAGGTGCTCGGGCCTGGGGTACGTGTGCAGCAGGTCTTGGCCACATCTCAAGGTCAGCACTGGGATGCACCTTTTGGCTGAGGGACGTCAGAGCCTGGGTGGCAGGAGTGAGAGCACAGTTGTGCCTGTCAAACTGGGAGCATTTCTCTCTGTCACTGGGGTCTTTTTTTTTCCCTCTGTCCTACATTATGGCTCTTCTTTTCTGCTCTCTGTATTCTCGCCCCTAAGGATCCTGACGATGCATTGCCTTAGAGCCTGTTTCTTACACCTTTGCAGTGGGCCTCAGCTGGTGATTTCTAAGCCTTACTATTATCTATTATTATTATTATTATTATTATTAAAGTCAAGACCACTCTGTCAAAATTTCCAAGATCAAGGTGGAATATAATTTGTAGAGATTTGTCTCAAGCCAGAAAATAGATTTGACCACTTAAAGGGGGTTGATGCAGGGGTAGGTGTTTGAGAACTGTTGGGCTGTCATTAAAGTTGGGCTGGTGAGACCGACAGGCCTGAAAGTGCTGGGAGGAGTGAACTTCTGACAAGCAGGTGGTTGCTTAGACCTTTGCCCTTCTTTGAAGCGACACCTAGAGCTGCATGTTAAAGATGGGAGTCTGGGGATCCCTGGGTGGCGCAGCGGTTTAGCGCCTGCCTTTGGCCCAGGGCGCGATCCTGGAGACCCGGGATCGAATCCCACGTCGGGCTCCTGGTGCATGGAGCCTGCTTCTCCCTCTGCCTGTGTCTCTGCCTCTCTCTCTCTCTCTCTCTCTCTCTCTGTGTGTGACTATCATAAAAAAAAAAAAAAAAAAGATGGGAGTCTGTGCCCCTCCTCATCATAAGGAAGCAGAATGGGCAGGATTCTCCAAGGGGTCCTGTTGGTGTTTGGATGGGACAGTTCTTCATTGCATGCAGTGCTGGGCATAGAGCCTCCCAGGCTCCTGCCTTCTAAGTGCCAGTGAGATTCCCTGGTCATTGTGACAGCAGAAACACTTCCACACATTTTCAAATGTTCCTCTGGGATGTGTGTGTGTGTCAAGGTGATTCTGGCCTGGCGTTGAGAACCATTGGACCAAAACACTGGGAGTAGGCCAGGTTTGCGTTAAGTTGTGGATGAAGTGTCCCAGGGGTGAACACGTGTCCTGCTGTGGTTCTCTGCTTGCTTCCTTTGTGTGTTTATATATGACTTGATTCCTTTGTTTTAACTTTTTTGGTTAAAAGAAGCTTAAGATCGGGATCCCTGGGTGGCGCAGCGGTTTGGCGCCTGCCTTTGGCCCAGGGCGCGATCCTGGAGACCCGGGATCGAATCCCACGTCGGGCTCCCGGTGCATGGAGCCTGCTTCTCCCTCTGCCTGTGTCTCTGCCTCTCTCTCTCTCTCTGTGACTATCATAAATAAAAATTAAAAAAAATATATATAATAAAAAAAAAAGAAGCTTAAGATCATACTTATTGGGTACCAGTGATATTTTAAGTGCTGAAGATTGGCCTTCAGTAAGATGGTAAAGTGCCTGCCTTTAAGGAGCTTAAAATCAGTGGGGATAGATAGGTAATAAACTAGTTATCCAATGAAGACTTTTGGGTGGTATTACCAAGGAAATCAGTGTGGAGAGTAGTAAAGATTAAGGCTGTTTTGGTCATCAAGAAACTATTTTCTAAAAATACTAAGATGAAAAATGGGGGATGGTCCATTTTAGACTGCAGGTATTCCAAAACGAGCTGGAGAATCATCAAAAATGTAATCAGCTTAGGCAATTGCTAGATTGGTGTGAGGGCTTCTGTGAGCTCACTGATACCGTCTAACAGACCTTAGTAGCTCTGTGAGTTTGAATAGGGTATGGGGAAATCTTATTCTTTTTAGTAGCCCTGACACTTGGGCCTGGAGTCCTGCCTTTGGTGTGCTGACGAAGGCTCTGGAAGTCAAGACTTGAGGAATTTGGAGAGTGTCGCTATTCACATTCCTTGATGGGGGTATGCACACACGTTTTGGTTCTTTTTTTTAAAATATTTTATTTATTTATTCATGAGAGACAAAGAGAGGGAGAGAGAGGCAGAGACACAGGCAGAGGGAGAAACAGGCTCCATGCAGGGAGCCCGATGTGGGACTCGATCCTGGGTCTCCAGGATCAGGCTCTGGGCTGGAGGCGGCGCTAAACTGCTGAGCCACCCGGGCTGCCCCCGTTTCGGTTCTTAAACACTTTGAATATCCCTGGAAGAATCTATAAGGAACCAGCATCAGTGGTGGGTCCTCTTAGGAAGAGGGGAGTGTTGGAATGAGAGGGAAGCTTTCTTTTTAAAAATTTTATTTTATTTTAAAGATTTTATTTATTTATTCATGAGAGACACACACAGAGAGAGAGAGAGGCAGAGACACAGGCAGAGGGAGAAGCAGGCTCCCTGCGGGGAGCCCAGTGGGGGACTCTATCCCGGGACCCCAGGGTCACGATCTGAGCCAAAGGCAGATGCTCAACCACTGAGCCACCCTGGCATCCCATCTTTTTAAAAATTTTAATATTTTATTTATTTTTCAAGCAGAGTTCACTTCTGTAGCTCACAGTTTAAAAAGGTACAAAAGGGTATATGATGAAAGGGTGTATTGTTAGTACCATAATACTGTTTGCCCTCCACCAAATGCTAGCTCTTCAAGAGATGAACTAATTTTAAAGGAAGTTCCTTGGTGATAATGATTCCTAGTGATTAGTTGTATTTAAACAAGAAGAAGGCTTCCTAAATATTAAAGCTGTTTGGGTTAGATTTAAGTCAAATAACCCACATTATTATTTGGGGGGTTGCATTAAGAGTGTCACTTAATGAAATGCGGTCTGGACAAAACTCGATGATTTTAAGTAGAATGGTTCAAATCCCTTTAGTCCCAGTTACTGACTGAGTCATCATGGGCACATTATTTAACCTCCTTTGCCTCAGTTTCTCATCAGCAATGATTTCCAGACATTGTAGAATTAAATAAGAAGTAAATAAATGTTAGCATTTCGTTATTTGCCAAGTAGAGCCCTCAGGAAGATAATGACGTTGAGTCTGTCATCCATTCAGTTGAGTAAGAACCATTGTTTTTTTTCCTTTCATTCATTAAGCAAATACCTTGGAAGCCTAGTGTGTGCCTGCATGAGCCCCAGGGACACAGTAAGCAGCACAGTTTCTGCCCTGTGGAGTTCGCAGCCAGTGAGGGACACAGACACAAGTAAAGGTGCAGTTCTGCTCAGTCCTTGAAAGAGGTGGATGGTGTTAGGACGTAATTGAGAGGGTTCACCCTGTCGTGGATGTCAGAGAAGTGCTTCCCCAACGAGGTGACGAGGTGACGAAGCTGAAACGAAGGACGAAGCTGAAACGAAGGACGAGTCAAACTGTCAGGGGCGGGGGAGGGGCGGGGCGGGGACAGCCTGTGCAGAGGCCTGTGCGTCTGGGGGGGTGGAGCTGGGCAGTGTGGTTCACAGAGACCTGGGTTGCGGTCAGTGGACACGAGGCCTCGGTCAGTGGACACGAGGCCTCGCAGCCACACCGAGAGGGTTTTCTGTATTAGAGCTTTTGGGGTTGTTTACTGGGTGGGCGAGGCGAGATCCGATTATTGCCATTTTGAAGTGATAGTCTGTTTGCGGTGTGAGAAGTGAGTTAGAAGAGAGCCCGGCATGGATGTGGAGGGACCCATGCAGAGGCTTTGGCAGTGGTCCAGGCAGGAGATTTTGGAAACTTTGACCCAAGTGATGGCAATGGCAGTGGAGGTGGAGAGAAGTGGGTGGACGATTCCATGGGTATTTAGGAAGGAGTGTTGGCAGGATTGATCATGTGTTAGCTCTGGTGAGTGGGGGAGAAAGAGCTATCCAGAATGATCTTTTGGACTCTGGTTTGTATGTTTTGGTGGAAGGCTGTGCCATTCTCTCAGACAGGGAACATTGGAAGAGGACAGGTGTGGCGAGGGAGAGGATGATGAATCTGTGGAGGAACTTGAGTCCAGAGGAGGCCAGAAGGTGGCTGGATGTAGAACCCCGAGGGGACTGGGCCAGAGATCTGAATGGGGGAGGTTGTTGCTGCTGCTGCTGCTGCTGGGAGCCTCGGGAGGGAGCAAGCAGGATGCAGGACGGGGGTGGGGGGTGTGGTGGTGGGGGGAGGCCAGGAATGCAAGCTCAGATTCCTTAAGACTTTCCATTTGGTTTCCTGTGGGCTGACCTCGTCCTGGGTCTTTGAATGAGGAGATAGAGTGCTCCCAGCAGAGGCCTGGCCACTGCGCTGTGTGCCAGCCGTTAGGCAATGGGGTGTGGGGAGATCTCTGGGGCCTCTCTGTGGCCTGGACTCTTTCCTCTCCCACCTTCTTTGCCTCCCCCTCCCCCACCAGGAGGCCTGACACTTGCCATCTGAATGAGCTGGGAGGAATATGGAGGCTGGAGGCTGGCTCTCGAGACCCACAGATTAGCTGCACTTGTCTGGATATTATCTGTAGATGATTGGAGATTGGCTTGGACATCAGTAACAATAAACTAATCCTAATTCTCTCAAACTGCTTGTTTTATTCTTTTGGAGATTTGTGAGTTTCCTCCTAGTCTGTCTGTCTCAGTCTCCCCCTTTTCTCTAAGTGGTCAGATCATCAGCCAAAGGGAACCAGTGGCTAGTTTCTTTGCTTCCTGGCTCCTAGTAGATGCCTGGAGAAAATCCTGAGCGTGGGCACCTGGGGCCCCCTTGTGGCTGGATCCGGTTCTCCACTTCGGCTCTGCTTTTCTCCCATCAGTTTGGTGGGAAGATGATGCAAAAGGGAAGTTTTGCTCTCGTGCTGCCTTTCCTCTGGATTTTGCCATTCCGTGGATCTTATGATGGTCCCCGGCCCTTGCTGCTTGGCTGCTGATCTTGGGCCCTCCTAAGCCAAACCTAGCCTTCTCCTGGAGGTGCTGTGGCAGTGAACCCAGCAGCAGTCTCTTCACATTCACTGGCAAGTTCAGACCCCACGGGCGGGCTCCTTCTTACAGGCAGCCCACCGTGGCACGCTCCGCAGTCTGAGAAGCTGGTGCTCTCACCACCAGCAGGAATAGATGTTGTGATGCTTCAGAAACGAGTATCTTTGGTTTTTTGATGTCCATTGGGTGGCACTGTGATCTTATTTTTGTTTCTGTTTTTCTGTGCAGCCAAGCTCTACTCCAGGAAGTGAAAATGTGGTGCCTCGAGAGCCTCTGGTAAGTACTCAAGATATATAGTGTCATTTTTCTAATCGCTAAAATACTGTGTGAGTGTGGAGAAACCCAAGGATCCTATAGTTTTGCATCATTAGTCTCTCTTCAGAAGTAGTTGCTGTGTGGAGACTAACTTAGTGACCTTTGACTTCTGACTTCTTTTCTGGCCTGCTGGAGTTAGTGGGCTCCCTCCTTAGTAAAGCCTGGTCTTTTCTGAACAGAAAGCATCTAGCCCAGGGCGTGATGCACCACTTTGTTTATTGCTGATCGCTATTAATCAGTGGGATGCCTGAACCCTTTGGAGGTGGAGTTGGGACCAAGTTGCTACTTGATTGTCTAATCAAGTCAATCCTACCCTTCAGGGTGAGAGCACTGTCAGGTGGCCTTTGAGGGGCAGGTAAGGCAGGGAGTTCTTTATGGTCTGGCCAGTAATTTGTGATGCTCACTACCAACATTATCTGCTTATAGTATTGACAGGGAGGCAGCCTCCTGAGTACTGAGGGTAACTTTCTTCACGAATTGCTTTTGCTTTGGTGGTCTGAGCCCCTGTCCCTGCCAGCGCCCCCTATTTTCATTCTAGCTTGCATTTCAGGGACTGCTGCAAATCCTGTTCGTTGGGTAGTAAGACTTGTTCTGCACCCATCAGATAAATTTATGAAGGGCCAACTTTTAGAACTTTGTCTTTGTTTGAATGGTGATAGCCAGCTTGGGGATGCACCGCCCAGCTTTGGTTTCCCAGGCCTGGTTCTCTTCCCTCTCCTCTGGCAGTAGTGGGAGGAGGTGATGTGAGGTCCTTAGCTGGCATGAACAGGCCTGAATTCTAGCCTGTACCCAGGCTTCCCAAGATGAAGGTGAGTTGGACTTGGCTGAGCTGTAGAAAGACCAGGGTGATGCAAGCCCTGTTGGGAAGTGCTGTTGTCTTCCGTGACACCCGCTGTTACCACGTGTTACTAAGTCCGGCTCCTTTCCCACCACGCCCCACAGTGGCTTCGTTTTTCTCTTGGTATTACCTGGGTTTGTCAGGGTGGTAGGAGAGCCAGAGGCTTCAGAAAGGCTTTGCTTTGCCAGGGCCTTAGCTAGGGAGCTGGAATGTGCCCCTGGGGTCTGCTAGTGCCCCGCAGGCTGGAATTGTGGTTGGTTTTGGACTCAAGTCCAAACTGAATGCTGTAGTTCTCTGCAGCCCTTTCCCTCCATGGTCTCCTTTTACATTTTTATCTACTGACTTAACTATTGATCACCGGCAGAGCTGGCCGGTCCTCCTTTTGCAGCGTGATTGGGTAAACTCTTGGGGGTTCTTTCTAGCAATGACCCATAGGCAACGGCAGCCTTGCTGATTTCTGGATGTTTGGAGCCCTGCAGCCAGCCCCTTTGCTCTGCTCACATTTCTGGATGCTGTTCTTTTCCTGCTGTACTCCGCATCTGCTTGTTGTTTGGTTGTATGTTCATTTCTTTCTTTTCTGGGAGGCCCTGAGCAGTCTTCAAACCCTAGTAGCTTGTGATCGTCCAGAGTTCAGACTCATTCTCTCCAGGCCAACTCTACAATTACCTTATATTTAATTAATATTTTTCCCCTCTTTACGTACTTGCTACATAATTGCTCAGAGGAAAGAAAACACATAGCAGCAATTTATATATATATAAAAAAAACAATAATTAAAAAAAAAAACGAAATAAACTCCCATCTCATTTGGGCTGATCCTATGAGTTGGGTAATTAGGGCCCTATTAAAAGGTGGACCCTTTCTCCTTCCCTTCTTTTTTTTTTTTTTATTAATTTTTTTTATATTAAACTCCCACAGCCTCTCAGTCATGCTCTTATTGCTTTTGGCCAACCATTCACAGCAGCCTGATTAAATGAGGGCACCAGCCGAGCTGTATGGTCTTGTGTGAGCTACTTCTGCCTCTCAAGAGTGGTGGTGGGAGGGTGCCAGGCAGTGGGGCCCCTTCTGGACTTGTGAGGACTCGTGGCAGGTGGGAGCACAGGACTTTGAGCTGGCAGTAGGTTGGATGAGAGTCACAGGATGCTGGCAAAGGGATGGGGTGGTATCCGTCCCTCAGAGAAAGTCCACAGTCCTCCGTCCGAGTCCACCTTCCCTAGGGGAACTTTCTTAGGCATGCACATTTGTGGGCTCTTGGATGCTCAGGGAGAACAGACAATTGAAGAATAAAATTAAGCCTTCTTCTTAAGTAATTTATGCATTTTATTGGGGGGAAGAAAAGGCATTTGTACACATGAAACAATTAGCAGACAGCACAAGACCATATATAATTTAAGCAAACAGTACAAAATCGCATATAATTTGGTGCAGAATTGCCTGGCTGGGAGTATAAGAGCCCTCATTATTCAGAGAAGGATGAGATCTGCCCGGGGTATACTTAGGGATTTTTTTTTTGTGAAACTTGAAGCCAGGTCCTGAGGAATAGGATTTTCAAGTGTTGGGGGGGACACCCTGCTAAGTGTCTTTCACTCTTGTTTTTAACTGAGAGCGTATTTTCCACAAAAAAAATTTTTTTTAAAGATTTTATTTATTTATTCATGAGACACAGAGATTTGAGGCGGTGGGGGGAGGGGCGTTGTTGTGAGCAGAGACACAGGCAGAGGGAGAAGTAGGCTCCATGCCGGAAGCCTGATGCAGGACTTGATCCCAGGACCCCGGATCACACCCTGGGTGGAAGGCAGAGCTAAACCGCTGAGCCACCCGGGATCCCCACCCCCCGCCAAATTCTGTCGTGGAAGCTGCCTGCTGTCTACACTAAAAGGGCTAAGCATAGGATACTGAAGGCATATAACCTTATTCTTGGTCTCCTTAACCAAGATCACTTTGGAGTAATTTTTCCCTTTATTGGAAAGGTGAGTTATGACAGAAAAGGCTCCATGGAATAGTCAGTACAATGCCGATGACATGGACGGTGATGTTCGGGGGTTAGCATTAGTTTTTTGCTTTATCTGTCAGAGAAGGAGGGCCTGATTTTCATTTCTGCTCTCCAGACCAGAAGAACAGTCTTGTGATTTTGTTGTTGAGGAGTATCGTCTTGAAGTCTCGAAACAATACGTTGGTGTTTTTAGCCACCCCCTTTCTGGTTCCACCCATGTAGTGACTGCATGTTACCTTCTCTCACCCTTCAGTCTCCTCCCCGCCATGAAAAAAACCACCTGGGCCACCTTGGCCATATTAGTGAGATAGTTGCTCTATAATGTTGTAATGCCCTCAGGGCTGGAGATTGTTGAACAGACCGGTCACGATAAGGTCTGTAAACTCCCAGTTGAAATTCCCTTATTATTGATGATAAAACTGTGCCAAAGTTAAAATGGCCAATTGCTTTTTCCTTCTTTATACTTTCTTCGCTGAGGTTGGCCTCAAGGAGTTTTGACAGACCTCCGGAGTATTGACCTCCACCCCCTCCCCATACCTGTTGAAAACTTGTAAATTCTCTCAGACCCGAGTTTTCTTTTTTAAAATTTTAAAAAAGATTTTATTTATTTATTTGAGACAGAGAGTGAGAAAGAGAGCATGAGTGGTGGGAGGGGCACAGGGAGAGGGACAGGCAGACAGCAGACTTCCCACTGAGCAAGGAGCTCAATGTGGGGCTCAATCCAAGGACCTTGAGATCCAAGGACCTGAGCCAAAGGCAGACACTCAACCGTCTGAGCCCCCCAGGTGCCCCTCATTCCCTGTGTAGGCATGTGCTTGGGCCCTGGGTCAAGTCCCTGCACCACTCGCCCAGGATCAAGCCCCACTTGGCCGGTGGGTCTTTAAATGGGTGGACGGGGGGGGGGGTGGGTGGGGTGGGTGGGGGGAGTGTGCCAGAGTGGCTCTGTTGGTTAAGCATCTGCCTTCGGCTTGGGTCATGATCTCAGGGTCCCGGGCTCGAGCCTCACATTTGGCTCCTTGCTCAGCAGGGAGTCTGCTTCTCCCTCTCCCTCTGCCCTTCCCCACTGCTTGTGCTCTTTTTCTCTTCTCTCAAATAAATAAATAAATAAATAAATAACCTTAAAAAAGAGTGGGTAGGCGGTAGTTTGCATGATAACTCGGGTTCTGTCTTGCTGGGATTCAGAAACCACGGTTAAGTAACCATCTGAGAGTCCTTTTAGTCATCTGAGTTTAGGTTATTTGAAGTGAGCAATAAATAAGGTTTCGTTTGCACGTTGCTCACTGGTTTCAACACAGGTTCCTCCATATGCAGCAATACTGCAGGCCGCCCACTTTATACAATGCTTATGGATTTGGGTTAAACTAGCATTTTGACTTTTTGCTCTTTGAAACCAAGTTCTTCCTAATGAATGAGTCTTCGGCCATTCTTTCTTCCTCTGACTTACAGGTGTAGTTTTTTTGTTCTGTTTCGGTTTTTATCTTTCCCCTGTATCCATCCCAATACTCCCAAACTACAGTGAATTTATTTTTATAAAATATGATGGTCATCTCTACTTTATCATCTTCCCTAGGGTTAATCATTTGTAGTAGGCTGAACTATTTTAAAAATAAGGATGCTCTGCACTCACAGAGCCAGCCCATATGTCAGCTTTGCTGTCTAACTACAGAAGTATCCTGTGGCCTCTGACTTCTCCCTCAGGCTCACAGAACCTTGCCTAGGGGGTCCTGCATCATGGATCTGATCCCAGTTCTTGGGGAGCTCATCCACATTATGCCTGGGACACTGAAGATTTTCTCTTTTGTTTTTAAGTCAGTTACCAAAGGCTGGGAATCAAAAGGCCATTAATATCTTGATGAATTCAGGGAGTTAGCCTGCGAGCTCTTTAAGAATACCTATAGCTAGTTGGCTGTCTCCTAGAGCCCTCTCCAGTGGATTCCTGGCACTCACCCTGTATTTCTATCTTTTATGGCTGGAGTACTTCAGTTGTTCTTGCTGGCGGGCTCACTGGGGACAGGTGCCTCTCGTGCTTTGTCCCCACCAGAAATCTGAAGGAGATTGTCATTCATGTGCTCCACCCATTTCTTTGTGTAGAGTCATGTGCATATGTGGTATGTCTATGTGCATATATAG